CTAAGATGCCAACAGTCCCGCTCTTACACCCCTTTAATCACTCCCAGCTGTTGGCAATCTCCCAACATAAAGAATCGATTCATCTGGTTTTTGTGGGTAAATAGCCCTTTTGATAGCGGGGAAGTTTGGGCATGGATGATGGAGTTGAGATGAGAAGTTGGGCGAGTTAGCGGGTCGGCGATGCTGGATGCACCATTCTTGAACGTAACACTGTAATGGAAATTCGATTCCATCCAGCCACCGAATCCGTCATAGATAGAGGAGTGGTTGGGCGTGGATGTACGCTTCTTTGGTCTGTCCATACCATAACGTCAATGACAGTTAAGTAACAACGCTAGATTTTGAAAGCGTGCACGATTGCGAGCATCTCTATGTCGTGTATCTGGTAGTTGCGCTTGTGCAGGTGCAACTTCCTTAGCTCATGCACGATTGGTTGCCAAAATTTTGAAATAGTACAGCGCCGATGGCGGTGTCACTCATGTTATTCACGACTTCCAATGGATGGTGAGGATCTGCTATGGGAAGGATCAATGGTGAGCAAAAAAAGGACTTGAGAGCCGAAAAAGCAGCCTGCTCTTTCTCCCGTCAACTGTACTTCACCCCTTTTTGAAATAGGTCAGTCAGTGGCACAGTTACCCTTACCATATTAGCGATAAACCACCACACATAATTTACGAAGCCAAGGATACTGTGAATTTCTCCTGAATTCGTTGGTGGGTTCCATGCCTGAACTGTCTCTACCTTGAAGTCTACTTCCACACCCTTAGCAAAAATCACGTGCCCTAAAAACTTCAGCATGTCCACTTAAAACTCACACTTAGACCCCTTCATAAGCAGTCGGTGCTCTTGCACTAGTGTGAAAACTGCTTCAAGATCCTTGAGGTGTTGCTCCCATGCAGTATTGTTAATTAAAATATCACCTAAATATACTATCACGCACTTATCTAATAGCGGATTGAAAACCTGGTTCATGGTCATTTGGAAATGGTGGGGGCGTTGGTGAGGCCGAAGGGCATAGTTACATAATCGTAGCTACCGTAGCTAGTCCAAAAGGTGATCTTGTTATTATCCTCGGGTTCGACTCTAATCTAATGGTAAACCCCCCCGCAGACCAATCTTAGAATATGCACGGGCTGTGCGAAGTTGATCTATCAGTTTGTCGGCTCTCGAGATGGGGTAACGTGACTTAATGATAATACTATTTAATAACATGTGGTCGATACACAACCAATTATCATATTTGGTGTAAACATGATCAGTGCGTATGGAAAGGAGCTAGGGCAGAAGAAAAAATGTTGGTGAGAAATGGTTATTAGTAGGTGATTGCAAGGCTTCATAGAAATTTAGCCTTGGAGACTGGCTAAACTTAGCCTTGGGCTGCTCCGTGAGGCGAGTAAACCGACGAACATCGTGATGCTGCATATGAATTTCCTTGGAAATATCAGCGCACAGCCCTGCGAGGCACTTGTTGTATAATGCAACGAATCTGCAGTTGTAGTCTTGGACCGATCCAAGCTGGCACCAGGTGTGAAGTTTCTGTCGCACCACGATGCTGATGTTTTGTACTTCGAAACGTCAGACCCTTGCTCACAACAACCTCGTACATTACTGGTTCGAGTTGCGCGTTGCCCCCTTGGGTAGCCTCGGTGTTGTCGAAGTTCGCCATCCTGTTCAGAACACGCGCGGAGGGGTTAATTAAAAAAACACGGAGCTGATGCTTATTTGACGCCGAATTAGTCGCCCCCCGGCGGGTTTTCGAGGCAGGTTTTCCTGCTGCTGCTGCTGCTTAGCTGAGCGCGGCCGAGTGAGAAAAGCTTTGATTACCAAGTGTTACAGGAACGAATTTGTCGAGGAAAAGTTGCACTACCGAATAATACAAGGCGCTTTTATACTTCCAAAGTACACTAGGTAACCAGGGTTGAAGTTTGGAGTGTCCCGTCCACTCGCTGCGGTGTATTTGGTTGTCGCGCGAGGTCAGCAGCATGTGCAGCTATTCTGTCACCGGTCTACGCAAGAATGACACAGCATATCTGATATGCATGCTGACGTCATTGACAGGGTTCGCACAGTAAAAAACGTTCGCTGTGAATAGCCACACTATCACGGATGGTGATCCTCAGACAATTGGGTCAAAGCAAAGTGGCCACTGCATTTTGAGGAGTCTTGTTGAGCTGCTTGCATTGGTAGGACTCTGCGAAATCTTCTCTCGTGTTACAGCCCTGACAAAAGGTGTACCCGCTCGTCGGCTGGGTTCTGCAGGCAGTGGAGTAGGCGGTGGAGGTGGAGTTTGGGAAGTAGCCCATGTCTATTTGCATATAGAGGTATCCAGCCAGTCCACTTTGGGCCTTCCCTGTCACAGGATCGAATGTGTCGAGGAAAGGTTGCACTATCGATTGATACAAGGCGCTTTTATACTTCCAGAGTACATCAGGTAACCAGGTTTATCCTATCCAAAGGGAATAGACCCTTCTAGAATATAGAATCACCCTGCATATAGCCACGCGAAGCTATTGGCTTTAAGGGATTACGGCAGGATTACGCTAGATACAGCGCCCAGTACATCCCAAGCCTGGTCGGTGAAATAATTATAATAGCAGGATAAACCAAAGGATAATGGAAAAGGGAGAATAGGAAACCAAATGGGATGGGATAGAAAGAGAAATGAAATAGGAAGGAAATAAGAAAAGGCCAAGTGGTGTAATGGGGTCGTACTCTCATACTTCCCCCCCTCAAAGCTGGGTGGTAGAAGTAACACCCTGCTTGACAAGGTAGTCATGCAGAGGACGACGGGCGTTACCCATGTCGGACTCAGGTACCCAGCTGTCCTCAGAAGGATAATAACCCTTCCAACGAATGAGAAGCTCCACGGTGCCATTCCGACGACGGCGGTGTGCAAGCACGGACTCGATTTCGTACTCGGGTTCATTATGGACGAGGACGGGCGGCGGCGGCGGCGGTTGGCGTCCGACGAAGATCGTGTTCGGATCCCGATAGGGCTTCAGAAGTTGGACATGGAAGGCATTGTGAATCTTCCAGGTAGCTGGCAGGCGTAAGCGGAAGGTAACAGGAGTGACCTGTGCTTCAACGAGGAAAGGCCCGCAGAAGCGAGGTCGAAGTTTAGATGGGAGATGGCTGATGTCAAGATTGCGTATGTCGAGAAGCACCTGGTCTCCCACGATAATGGTGTGGTCATTGCGATGGCAATCGGCCTGGCGCTTCTGTTGCTGCTGAATGTCAAAGAGGCGCTTGTGGGTCCGATCCCAAAGCTGATGCATGGTTGTGATGAAGTCGTGTGCCGGTTGGACTGTTGCTGATGTTGTCGGTTTCTGTGGTGTGAGTGGGTGGCGTTCATAGCAGAGGAAGAACGGCGTCTGTCCAGTAGCGGCATGAAAAGCGTTGTTGTAGGCAAACTCTAAAACGGGCAGGTGCAAGTCCCATTTGGAGATCTCGTCCTTGCAGGCTGCGCGGAGGAGTTGCTCAACAATTGGTTGAGGCGCCCGGTCTGTCCGTCTGTCTGCGGATTGTAAGCGGATGACATGGCGAGTTTGGTCCCGAGTAGAGACATAAGTTCCTTCCAGAACTTGCTGGTTGGAATGCCATGCTGTGAGATGATATATCGAACGAAGAGTTGTGCTGTTTCTTCAGTGCGTGCTGTTGTTTGTGTCGGAATGAAGTGTCCCATTTTGGAGAACGTGTCGATGACGACAAGGATTGCGTCATGACCGCTGGTGGTCGGCGGTAACCCGGTGATGAAATCCAGGCTAACCACTTGCCATGGTTGTTCTGGGACAGGAAGAGGCTGTAGCAGACCTGCATTCTTCTGCTTGCTGCTCTTCATCCGCTGACATGTATCACACGAGGTGACGAATTTCTGAACATCTTCTGCCAAGTGGGGCCAGTAGTTGTTCATTGCGATACCGGTGAGCGTCTTGTTGCTATCGAAGTGTCCCGCGTCGTGGTATTCTTCGAGTAGTAACTGGCGCAATGGAGGGTAATTTGGTATCCAGATCTTCATTGATCCCTTCCGGTACGCGATGTCGTTGTCCCACTGTAGCAGATGTCGCTTTTTTGCCAAGCGAATTTCGGGGTAGATGGTGTACCCGTGTGTGAAGAGTCCCTTGAGGAGTGGATTCATGCCTTCCACTTGGATAGCGGCAACATGTGCAGGTCGGCTAAGCGCATCTGGTTTGTTTTTGTGGCCGGGCTTGTACACGATGTCGTAGTGGAAGTGTGTCTCGAGGAAGTCAATCCACCGGACCTGCCGCCTGGAGAGGCTTGGTTGTGTCTTCAAATATTTTAGGCTGCAATGGTCAGTGTAGACTGTCGTCTTGCGTCCTTCCAGATAGCATCTCCACGTTCTGAAGGCGATGATGATAGTAAGGGCCTCCTTGTCGTGTATTGGGTAGTTGAGTTCTGCTCCATGTAATTTTTTGCTGAGGTAGGCAATTGGTTGCCGTCCATTCCCCTGGTCTTGCATCAAGACTGCTCCCATTGCGTGGTCGCTGGCGTCAGCTTCGATAACGTAGTCGCGTTCGGGGTCTGGCAAGATGAGTACAGGTGCGGATGTGAGTGCTTGTTTCAGCTGCTCCATGGCTTCCTGGAGTCGTTGCTCCCATTTATAGGGCGTGTTCTTCTTTGGCACATTCGTGACTGGCGTGGAGATCTTTGCATATTGCGCCACGAACCTGTTGTAGCAGTTAGCAAAGCCAAGGAACTGCTGTAACCCCGTCACGTTCTCGGGTGTCTTCCACGTACATACGGCTTCGATTTTCTTGGGGTCGACGTGAACTCCCTGAGCGCTTACGATATGTCCGAGGAATTGGACTTTCTTGAGGGTGAAGTCGCTCTTGGATAGTTTGACGTAGAAGCGTTCTCGTCGAAGAATTTCGAAGACGCGTTGTAGGTGTTCGACGTGCTGCTTCATGTCGCGCGAGTAGATGAGGATGTCATCCAGGTACACCACCACGCACTCGTCCAGAAGTGGGCCTAGAATATGATTCATCTCCGCTTGGAATGTTGCAGGTGCGTTGGTGAGTCCGAACGGCATTACCAGATACTCGTACGATCCGTACCAAGTTCGGAAAGCAGTTTTGTGAACGGAATCGTCCGCCATTCTTATCTGCCAGTATCCGGACCGCAGATCTAGTTTTTAGAATACCGAGGCTCCCCGAAGCCGGTCAAGCAGGTCATCGATTCGTGGAATCGGGTACTTGTTCTTGATGGTCTGCTTGTTGAGGGCTCGGAAGTCGATGCACATGCGCAGGCTTCCGTCCGAATTTGGTGTGAAGAGTACATGGGCACCGTACGGTGAAGTGGATGGTCGGAAGAGTCCTTTGGCGAGGAGATACTCGATCTGTTTCTTCATGTTGGCTAGTTCTGTAGGGCTTAGCCGATATGGTGCTCGGAAGGTCGGTTTCAAACCTGGTTCCTCCACGATCTCGTGTTGGTGCGTTCGGTATGGCGGTAGCTCTTTCGGAAGATCGTATTGGAACTCCTTCAGTAATTCCTTGATTTTTCCTGGAGGTTCCGAGATCTTCTCTCCATCGTTCTCCCACCTCTGTTGCTATCGCCAAGAACCTGGTGTCGGTTCGCTTCACGTCCTTCTCGAATCGTGCGAGTGTCTCCACTGGGATATCTCTGGTATCGTCCCAGTTGGGTAGCTGGACTCTCCTTCCCTTGTTGTAGATGCTTGCGGTGCGGTTCACCCAGTTGATCTCGGGGTTGAATTTCTTGAGGAAGTCTCGCCCGAAGATCAGGTCAAGCCCTTTGATGTTGGTGATGGGGAGTACAGGTCTCCAGCGCAATGGTCCCGATTTGTAGGTGTAACACTGCTGCGCCGTGTACTGGTAACTTGCTGCTGTCCATCATCGTTGAAGAGAATACTGAAGCCTTGTAATCTTCCCGATGTCGGATCATTACTGCCTAGTCGCAAACAGTGTGCGACGCTCCGCTGTCCACGAGTGCTTGGAGGCGTCGTCCTTTGCAGATGACCTCGAGCAGGGAGCGGCAGGCGTTGCTTGGAGTACCCAACAATAGTTTCCTTCATAGGTTCATAGGGAACAGCCCAATATTCGTTGCTGCTCTTGAGCTGCTTCAGCTCCACCGACGTCTTCCCTGGGGAACAGGTAGTCGCTGTGGGCTGGTGTCGGGAGAGGACGTTGACTCCGTGGAGAGAGAAAAGAGAGAGAGAGAGGAGAGAGAGAGAGAGAGGAGAAGAGAGAGAGAGAGAGAGGAGAAGAGGAGAACGAGAGAGAGAGGAGAGAGAGAGAGAGAGAGAAAGAGAGAGAGAGAAAGAGGAGGAGAGAGAGAGAGAGAGAGAGAGAGAGAAGGGAGAGAGAGAGGAGGAGAGAGAGAAAGAGAGAGAGAGGAGAGAGAAAGGGAGAGAGAGAGAGAGAGAGAGAGAGAGAGAGGCAGAGAGAGAGACAGAGAGAGAGAGAGAGAGAGAGAGAGAGAGAAGAGAGAGAGAGAGAGAGAGAGAGAGGGGGGAGAGAGAGAGAGAGCAGGAGAGGAGAGAGAGAAGAGAGAGAGATAGAAATGCGAGAGAGAGAGAGAGAGGAGAGAGAAAGATAGAGATAGAGATAGAGAGAGAGAGAGAAAGAGAGAGAGAGAGAGAGAGAGAGAGAGAGAGAGAGAGAGAGAGAGAAAGAAGAGAGAGAGAGAGAGAGAGAGGGAGAGAGAGAGAGAGAGAGGGAGAAAGACAGAGAAAGAGAGAGAGAGAGAGAGAGAGAGAGAGAGAGAGAGAGAGAGAGAGAGAGAGCGAGAGAGAGAGAGAGAGAGAGAGAGAGAGAGAGAGAGAGAGAGAGAGAGAGAGCAAGAAAGAGATAGAGAGATAGAGAAAGAGAGAGAGAGAGGGAGAGAGAAAGAGAGAGAGGGAGAAGAGAGAGAGAGGGAGAGAGAGAGGAGAG